TAAAATAACATGGAGATCGTAGAACTTTAACAGTTGCTTTGGAAGTACCTTTCACGTGCATTTAAAAAGCGTCTTCATCCGTTCTAGCATTCCATCATAAGTTAGTAGCATTTTGTACAGCTAGCTGTCAGCACCGTAGCATATATGGTGACAAGAAAGTAGAAGATATTTATTATGGTATGCATGTCATGCTAATGAATTGCAAAGCATTGCTTAATCAGAGTGGTTCATAAGAATCTCGTTGATTTATTGCGTTTAAAATCTACTTCAATATACTGTTTGCTATAGACAATTACGCAGCATTCGTATGCTGCGGGAGCTGCAACGCTTGGTGGCTGTTGAGAACGGCACTAGAATTGTCCTCAGTTTATCCAGTATCACTGGCTCCGTCTATCCAGCCTTCGCTGAAAATGCTACGCTAGGCCTTTCTTTTTAAGGTGCACCCCTTTCCAAGCTATAGCTTACATTAGGATTAGAACTGGCTAAATGAACAGGATTTGATTCCCGTGGTTTTTAGAATCTTGATCTTAGAAACTTTGATATCTCTGCCCTCTCCCTTCCTCATTTTTTTTTGTGAGTGAGTCTCATTCTTTATAGGAAGGTGATTCAGTCAATTTTTTTAAATTTTCATTTTAACCAAATTTCTTCCATTTAGAATTCTGTAACCTTTAAGAAAATACTATGTTATTTTCCTTTTTATAGGCTGGTGGGGCCTTACAAAGCCTTTGTTTGTTTTGAGAATATAACTTTAGTTGAAGTGTTTAAAAAATTCAAATCCTACAATAAAGAATACAGTAAAGAATTATGTAATGTACTTTATCATGTCTAACGAGGCCTACACTTGGAATAGTCTATTTTAAATTACAAAGATTTTTTTTCCCTTTTTTTTACTGAGAACAGATTGAAAGTATGTGTCTTAAAAAATTAAAGAAATAAAAAGTTGTCAGACCTGCTTGTATACTGGGCTATACAGAGTAAGCACAGACTGCTCTCACAGGGAGATGTGAGAGTGTAGCAAGTTCTGAGTCCTCATGACACTGTGAAGACTTAAGCTTCCATCATGTAAAGTGAATTTAATGCTGGAGTCTGAACTAGAAATCAGCCATTCAGCTGTGAAATGGGTTAGCATAGTTCACTTGAAGTGTGTTGCAGGCTCTATGAATTGAACATCAAGGAATTTAGGTATTGCACGTTGATGCATAAATATTTTATAATATTCCCTTGTCTACTCGTGCATGCCTTATCATATGTGAACACTTACTGGAAAGCACCCATAAGTGTTTAGAGGTGTGAGGCTCTATGAGCATTTTACCCATTTGCTGAGTTTGCATTAAGACAATCCTGTCTTCTGTGACTTTTTCAGAGGAAAAAGGGAATAAATGAGGAAATATAACAAAAATTTGAAAGATATGATATGCAGTGAAAGATTCCCTCACACAAGTGTGAAAGGAAATAAGTAGGAGAGCTTAATGTTGAAGCATTCTTTTTCCTGCAAAATTTAGTGAAAAAAACTGTATTGAAGACATAATATGTTGAAAAAATACAAACTTCTGAAGAACTGCTATACTAAATTTGGGAACTGATAACACCTCTTAAGAATCTTAATTCTCTATTGCCCTGAGAATTCACTCATATGTTTTGTGAGCTTATTGTAATTTTAAAAATCTGTGTTACTAGCTTCTTCTTCTACCTATAACATGAAAAGAGCAAGAATGATAACTAGTATTATAGGGGTGTTTTTTTCTTTTTTTCTTTTTTTTTTTTTTTACATTTACAAAATCCTTCTCTGTTTCACAGACTCTGGAAAGTCAATCAATTACAAGCAAAATGTATCTTTTTAGACTATTGAATTAGCGCTAATGAGAGTGGCTCCAGACTCTGTTCATTTGCAGCTTAAATAGTGGACAGAATAGGAAAAATAGTTAGGAGGCAAAAGATACTGTGAAGAGCAAACTAATTGTGTTTTCCAATCCAAGATGACAGTTTTGGGTTGCATTTTTAGGGGTTTTGAGAAAACGAACAGTTACACACTGGTGTATCAGTCAGGAGTTGCACTGTTTGATTAAAGTGGCGGTGCGTTTAGCTCTGGGTTTGTTTATGCTGTTAAATGTGTGAAGATGCTTTTACCCAAAATCTGTTATAGATTAAATCATTCAATGCATTTTTAATCTCCTATGAGTACTATGTTACTTCTGGAAATAACTACATAAATCAGTATAGAAAAATTACCCCAAATCCTTCTAACAATGGAAAAAAAAAGTTGTTTCTGTGACTAACATGAATGTATGGATGTAATGTTTCCTAAAGATTGTGCATCCTCGATATGACTTTTGACTTTAATATAGAATGTGGAAGACTCCCGAAAGTCCCAGATAATTTCCCTGTTACCAAAATGAGAAGATGATCAGATTAGAATCTCTGAGAGACTTCTCAGTCTTTTACTTTTGACATTTTGCTGCAGTGTAGATGATGCTCAGCTTCTGTTTGGGATACAGTGCCAGCAGGATGTGAGGGCTGCCAGTTTCTAGAGGAAAAGTCCAGAGTTCTCTGATTTGTCTTGCTTTTTCTGACCAGCACTGCCTTAGTTACTACACTTATTTCTCTTATCAAACTGTGAAAGTGCTACTGTTAGTCCAATAGAGATCTTTACTGTGGTAATTTAAAGACAGTAGTCAGCAAAGAAGTGATCACAACGCTTTAGAATTTCTTGTGGAAAAACAAAGTATTTCGTAGCCTATATTAGGTTGATGTGGCAGCCTTTGCTTAGGAGGCATGATTATGTGGAAAGGTATTCAATTACAGAAGAATAAGGGATGACCCGTTAACTGTGCTGCTGAATAGAAAGCAACAAAGTAGGATTGGAAATTTATCCTTAATTTATAGGCATCTTTCTCAATTCTCAGATAACAAGAAGGAAAACAGGAGTTTGGCATCCTTCTCCTTGTGCAGACACAATCTTTTGAGGAGAGTCTTGGGCAAAAGAACAGAGGGAAAACACTTAGTCTCTGTAAGAAAGATTCTTCCTCTGTGGTGAGAACAGCCTGATCGTGACCTAATCCAAAGCTCAAGATCAAACTCTCTTTTTTTCTATTCTCTTATCAGTCTCTTCACATTGCTGTATGGAAAGTTTATTATACTTTTCTATGTTTTGTTCTCTTTGTCCAATGAGAAAGACTCCCCTTAATGCAGACTCCCCTTGGTGTCTTGCAGTGCTCCCTAGCAGCCTTCCCATTCACTTCAGACAAATCGTTTTATCTGTCAAGCTCGTGTTTGGTCCATTCTGCGTGGACTTAGCTATTTTCTAGAGAAAAAAACACTAAACTCTGCCCATACTGTACTTGGAACTGTCAGTTATATCTCAAGGAGATATCGGAGTTTCATCTCAGATAAAATATTAGAGTAATTCCTTTAAAATCATTGGCTCACCATGTAACAGGAGCCCAAAAAACAACAAAACACCAGGCATCAACGACAAGGAAATTGAGAACAAAATGAGAGTATAATTTTGATGTTATATAAAATATTGTTTTCCATATACCTTGAGTGCTTTGTACGGTTTTTCTAATCAAGAAGGATGTAGCAGAATAAAAAAAGATACAGAGAAGAAAAAATAAAATGGTTAGAAGGGTGGAACAGAGTATTTGTCACAGGGGAAACTGCAGTGACTCTAGTTAGGAGTAGAAAAAGTTAGAGAAGGATATCATGCAGGTCTAAATGTGATGAAAGTTGATAAACTTCATGTAAAATTCTTATTCAACACTTTGTAAAGACAAGAAATGGAAGACGCTTGACAAAATTAGCATGAGATTAGATAAAACATACAGATTCTTTATTTAGTAAGTGAACTGGAACTTGCTGCCATGGGAAGCTGAGACAGATAGGAGCTCAGCTGACTTGTGATGTCTAATGCTCTCAATAAATGAAATTATGTTCCTGTAATAAAAAAGGATAAAGCTAAATTTCATACCTCTGTGTTAATTTTCTGATTAATTGCACGATAACCTACTTAAGTTAAAATTTGAAGTCACAAAGAAATGTATTTTCCAATATCAGTGAAGATTTTTGTTACTATGATTTTAGGGATAGTTCCCCAACTCACCACTTGAATTTTGTAGGGGAATTGCTAAAATTGCAGTGTGGGTCTTCTGTATAGGTAGTGTGTATGTGAAAATAGTTATAAATAGTAATTTTCTTATAGGAAAAATGTTATTCTTGTAATAAAAATGTTGATGTGTATTTAAAGAATAAATTTTTTACATTTATATTTCTCTAAAAATTCTCTAAAAAATTCATGTCTGCGGATAAAGTGGAGATCTCTTTGCTGAACATTTTTTAAATTATGAGTTCCAATTTTGTAGCTCCATAATATAACAATATTATCTGACACTCTAACTTAAAAAATGTTCAGTTGGAATTCATGCATTCAAACAAATATGTGCAATTACCCTGTCATTATAGCTGTGTCACATATGTATTCATTTTTTGTAAATGATATTAGTTGTGACCTTGGTTTTACAATAGTCATGATTCCATTGAATTAGAGTTTTGATTTCTTATGCCATTGGAAACTATTATTATGAAGCTTTAAAGATCAAATTCTGGTCCTGTTGCTGATTACAGCCTAATTTTTCATGCTTCCCATATTATTTATGATAAAATTGTAAAACCTTACAAATCTCTAGTATGGCAAATTTTATCATTTAAGCATACAACCTTTTAATCTCTTTTTACTTCTATAATATAGGATATAACTTCAGTGGCACAGCAAATAGAGAGCAACAGAGACAGCAACAGCTCTGAGTTATTCTCTTAGAGACAGAGACTCCAAGCAGGACTGTAGAATGTGAGAATTTACTATTAAATGGGTGGAAACAGGCCTGGACAATGTAAAACCAGAATACAGCTTAAGCAAACAAAATATATGGGTTTAGCTAAGTAATTGAGGGAAAAGAAATTTCAGTTTTTCACAAACTTATCCTTGCATATGGTCTCTTCTTTAGGATAATTACACATTTGCTCAGCCAGGAATTCAAAAGAAAGTGAAAATGTTGGAAGAACTTGTTAGACGGATTGATGGTAAGTCTTAAAAGCTGACGTGATTTCCAAATGGTGTTTCACTGAAAGTGTTTAGTTAAAACGTTTGCAAGAAGTCAAGCCAACATCATCACAGTTACCTATCTTGGTAGTGTAACGCAGCCTTCCTCAGATGAGTTGTAACACTCAGTCCATTTGTGGCACACTGGCCTTTGTGAGATCACTGTCGTGTATCATTTAAAAGAAAGCCACTAGAGCATGAGCCACTTTCATTACTTTTTATTAAGGCAATATAATCAAAATTCAATGGCAATTTCTTTTCAGCAGAGTAATGGCCACATACAAAAGGCAGCTAGTATTCATTTCGCATTAAGCTCAACGATTGTTGTAATTCGAGAGAGTCACAGTGGTTGTTTATGGTTGTCCTTCGACACTATGTTTTGTGCCTTTGTGCATCATTTTGCTCTCTGGAAAGCCTGAATAATTTCTCTGTGGAATCCAATTAATTATGAACTCTGGAAATAACATCTTTAATATTATAGATAAATTACAGTGTGTGCAGGGGTAATTTTAGATTATACTTTCATGTTTTAGCAGGGCACTTTGAAATATTTTTACCTTCATCTTTAAAATAATTCCCTTCATGAAATGCTGACTGTCATATTGCTAGAGCAAAGTTTAATTAAATGAAATGCAAGAGATAATGCTTGCCCATTCTAAACATACTCTCTTGATAGTTTGTTAAATTAATGAACAGAGTATTAACAAAATGTTGCCAAGCAGTACCAAGCATATATTTGTGACACTAGCCTGTCAGTGATGAGGTAGAAAAAATATTTCTTCCATAGCTTAATACTCTATAATCTTGAAAAGATTAATTCTATCTTTTCATTATACATACTGTGAGCTTTCCTTGCGCCAGTGCTTACTGTAGCATATTTTGGCTTGACCTGCACGTATTTACATACTGAATATTTGATATAGCACTTCTTCTGTGCCCTTTTAAGGTGGTAAAATATTTAATGTTCAAAATAAAATAAGAGGGGAAAATAATGTTTATGTAGTAATATTATAATATAAAAGTACATTGTATAAAACTCCGTTGTGTAAATATATATTTATTTTAAATGTAAATTAATATAAAAAAAATCTAAGAAGCTGCTTTTGTAATTTTTAATCAAGGGAAAGAAAAGTTATATTAAAATATGTCCAACGTAGTGTAATGGGTTACTTCAGAAAAAAATCTAACATCTTATAGTGTGGCTTTTTATATGTGTTATTTTATGCTTTTATTGATATTAGAATTTTTGTATCAGTTATATATAGAAGCACACATTTGTATATTAAAGTAAGCAGTTATAATGCCTACAAAATAGACTTCCTAAACTCTTATGAAGCATTTAAAATAAATTGCTTAAAGCCAAGTGTTTTAGATGGAAAATATTATTCCGATGATCAAACACTTTTTTTTTTGTTTATTAAAAATAGCCTGCAAGAAAGGACGAAATCCTAAAGGCTTGTTTGTGCCTCTAGTGCTTCAATATATACTTAGCTAACTTTTGTCAAATAGGTATGGTTTGGAAAGCATTATATTTAAGACTTTAACATGTAAAGGAAAAATAAGTTATAGCAAATAAATATTTCTTCTTCAACTCTCCTTTGCCAGACTCTGAAATTGAAAGTAAGTAAAGAGACTTTTCCATTTTTAAAATCTAATTTATACCAATTTGATAAGTGCTGTATTTAAGAGGACATTGTTAAAATAGTCCTACATCAAAAGTTTACCTTGCTAAATGTGAACACGATTTCTCCTTCAATAATTACATTGACCTAAAGTGTATAATAGTCAGTAAAGGAAGCAACCAGGAATTTCTAAATACAGTGTGTTGATATCTTTTTTTTTTTTTTTTTAAACTGAGCTACAATTTTTAGCAGACTGTATCAGTATCTATGAATATGGGTACCATCCAAAGATTTTTAAAAATTACAGAATGAACAATACATTTTCTATGCTAGAATTGTTAATTTTCTTATGCTTAGAGATCAGGAATGTTTACTACTTAATGTTGATTCTTTGTACTATCGTTCAGAGTTAGGAAGTAATGTCTTAAAGTAACTTGTAACTCTAAACTGTTTATGCAGTTGAGTAGTTTAAAACTGCCTTTTTGTTTTGAGTGGTGCTGCTGAAGAAAGCAAAACAAAATCCTAACTTCAAGAAACTGTTTTATACTAGATATATTTTACAGTGCGTGTAATCTGTATGACATGTCCAGAGCATATAATAGATCTTGGAAATTCTTTGAAATATTATATTTTCCATTTGTTTTTAAAGTGAGTGAAATTTCATTCTTTTGGAAACATGTATGGAAAATATAAAGCATTTTTAAAACAATGACTTTTGAAAAATGGAACTTCAAGCGTTGGAGGACGGACTTGGCATTACAGATCTCAGAACAATTTAGGTTGGATTGGGTCTCTGGAAGTCAAGTGGTCTAAACAATCTCATCAGCCCCCTTGCTCAGCGGGCAGGGATGCTTAGGTTGGGCTCCTCCAAACCCAATCGGGCCGGGGGTTCTGAGTAACTTCAAGGATGGAGTTTGCATAGCTTCTCGGGGCACTGTCAAAGAGTTTGACTACCCTGATTGTATTTTTTTTTTCTAGTACCAGTGAAGAGAAGCTTAACATAAAAAGTAGCTGTTTGAGTGTATGAGGCTTGTGCAGCTTGTTTCTTAATCGTGGTGGCTTAGTGGCATTTGAAAAGTGATACTTGCCTGTTGGAGTGTGTTAATGCATTACATGAGTGATCCAAGCAACCTTCATTACCACAGTTTTGTGGATCACAACAACTCTCAAAGTAACTAACCTTGTGTGCTCAGTGCAGTAGTCCTTAAACAGCCTCTGCTAACCTGAAGAAACGTCTAGCTGTTTGAACTCCAGAAGATACATTTAATACATACAGATACATGTATTCAATGCAAGTTTTATAAGTTTATTAACAGAACTTTGTTATATTTGAAGGTAGAACATTTTGAAGGTAGAAGGAATTTGAAAGAAGAAACATCATTCAATCATCTCACTTATCTCCTTGTCGTTGCAATTTAGTTTGTTCTATGAATTATTAAAAAAAAAAAAGTAGAGAGGGAGAATTAATAGATAACTCAATAATACCAAGTATCTGCTATAACTAATTTGCTATCTTGTCTATTTCCTGTGATAAGGCAGTGGAGATTTTCTATGGTAAATCATGAACTATCTCATGGTTTGTTAAAGGTCACACTGATATTGGATGATATGTTCTAGTATTGCTTCATTTAGACTGCAAATCAAATAAATTTGTAGCATAGGAGTGTTGAAATTAATTCAAGACTTTTAGTATTTACTGATGTTTAACATTTGGCTAGCTTCATGCTTGGGAGTCTCAGCTTCGCTTTAGTGAAAGACATCTGATAATTACATTAGAGCTTCACATAGTGATTCGGTTGAACATTTATTTATATAAAAAGAATCATCAAAAGGTGTTCTCACACATGATATTTTAATTGAGATCATTTCTGGTTACTTGAAAAATAAAAAATATTGGAAATATGATACAAATTGTGCAAGAGTAAGGTTGTTTTTAGGGCTGATTGAAGTGATTCAAAAAGTTATTTTATTCCAATTATTTCAAAAGGTAGATTAATAATCATTCCATCATTTTACTCTTTGGGAAAGTATTTTTGTTGTTGTCTAGTTGAAGTAAAATGTTCTTCGCTGTCCTTTTAAAAGCATAGTACACTAAAGATTTTACGACTCCTATTTTTTTATTGCTGCCATATTGTAAATAGTTTCTTTTGTTTACTTTGAATGGAATGCAAATTTGATAATGCATTTTCTTTTAGTATTCTGGACAAATCAGTCTTTGCATCACTAATTGCAAGATATTTATTTATTAGTGGCTTGTGATAGAAGTCTCCTGGTTGGTCAGGTGTTTGCATTTCTGTGAATAATGGCACAAATCATGACTTTCAATGAAGCAAATTTTTATAAAGCACTTACCTTTAATGGCTTTTAATTTATATTTTGCATATGTTTTTGTTATACAGGATATAGAAAATATTAATATAGAAATATAATCTGTTGCATACATGGGCAAGATGAGCAGTATGAAATCCAGCCAATTTAAAATATTTCATTTTTCATGTATTGTTACTTCTGCAATGAAAGTGCTTATTTGTTTGCACGATTCTGTATGCTTATACCTTTGCAACTATACTAGTTGCATCTAAAAGATTATCTGATATAATATTTGATATTTTTGTGTCATGTTAAGGTTCCTTAATTGGGGATATTTACAAAGCCTCCATTAGCATATGATTAGCATATGTGGAATTATCCTTTGTAACATCTGAGTAATTGGAGCATTGGATCTAAAAAAGTTGTGTGGGTTTTTCTTTGGAGTTTTAAGTGTTCAGAAATCACTTGGGATTTTTTCAAAACTTGTAGTTAATGCATAGTATTCAGCAGCATATACAATTCTGCATCATGTAACAGTAGGAATCTTCATGAAAGATTTAAAAATTATACCTTGCCCCAGAATTAGTTTGCTTTTCACGTCTGGGAAAATTAATCCCTTGTAAGCATTATAATGAAAATATTAAAGAAAAAAAAAAGGCCTTATAAAATGAAGACTGACACAAGGCCAAAAATATTACCAAATTACGTTCTCGTGGATGTATTCCGAGGTACAAGTGGCAATTTGATTCTTACAATGCCAACAGGCTCCAAAGCAAAATCTCTAAATAAGTGTCAGAAGGGGACAAAAGAGAGAGCCAGTTGCCTCAGTTTGTAAGTGAAAGCAACAGTTCTGGGACGCCCAGAACAAGGAGATGAAAGCGTTCATAATAAGCAAGAAAAAGTATTTATTTCACAAACATGGGAGAATTCTAGACAATCCCATGTTGTTTGTTACTAGTGTTGCTCACATCTAATATCTGAGCACAGGAGGTCAAAAGCTAAAAATACAGTCAATTTCCAAGTGGAATTGGAACTTGGGTATTAGCATT